TTTTCAAGTAGCAAATATCAACCAAAAAAAGATTATCTATCTATCTATCTATCTATCTATCTATCTATATCTATCTATCTCTATCTCTATCTTTCTATCTCTATCTATATCTATCTATCTATCTATCTATCTATCTATATCTATCTATCTCTATCTCTATCTTTCTATCTCTATCTATCTATATCTATCTATCTATCTATCTATCTATCTATATCTATCTATCTATCTATCTCTATCTATCTATCTATCTATCTCTCTATCTATATCTATCTATCTATCTCTATCTCTCTATCTCTCTATCTATATCTATCTATCTATATCTATCTATCTATCTATATCTATCTATCTATCTATCTATCTATCTATCTATATCTATCTATATCTATCTATCTATATCTATCTATCTATCTGTACTATCTATCTATCTATCTGTACATTAACCCGGCGTGGCACTACGGGTTAACACGCTGGACTGCAAGGTCAGTTTGAACTGCAAAGTTGGCGGTTCAAGCTCACCAACCACTCCTTGGAAAACCTATACAGGTTCACTATGGGTCAGAACCAACTTGGTGGCACTTAGCAACAACAATGATGGTGGTGTGTTCTAGAGTCAGTTCCGACTCTTAGTGACCAACGTAGGGTTTCCGACGCTGTAAATCTCCAGGGAGCAGAAAGCCTCATCTTTCTCCCACAGAACCACTGGTCATTTCAAACTGCCAGCTGTGAGATTAGCAGCCCAGTTTGTTATTCTACCATGGAAAATTCCAGTGTCTTTTATTCCACAGTTCCACAAACTTTCTGAGGCCTTCTCATATATGCTTTGTAATTCCAAAGAAATACAGTAAGGTGATTAAATACTTAATGTAAAAAATAGACTAGGATATAACTCTGTGGGGAGGTGAAGTGAAAACCCATCAGTGACAGAAGTGAAGGGCGAACAGTCACCAGCTTTAAAACTGAGTAGGATCAGTACCACATCCTTGTGGTGTTGTGATTCCACAGTTTACATTAAAAAGAGGGATTTCAAGGTTCTGTTTCAAAGAACACTTAACCTTTTGTGACTATTTAAATATAAAATTAAAACAAAACAAACAAGCAAATAAAACTTTCCTTACCAACCTAAACTTGGCAGGGAGGGCATTTGTAGCTCTATAAGGGACTGTGTGAGCAGGAAGTGTGCTGGCTACCTACCAGATTAGAAAGAAATGCAGTTCACAGCTGACTGGCTCTTCCACCTGGGGGACCTTGCTTTTTCTCCACAGGCATCTCCCTTCACCTGGTGTGGCGCTCCAGGACAATGCGCTGGGCCGCAAGGTTGGTGGTTCAAACCCACCAGCTGCTCCTTGGAAACCCTATACAGGGTCGCTGTGGGTTGAAACCAACTCGATGGCACTTAACAATAACAACCACACCCTATGTTACAGGAGTTTTGGGACAGAACTCACATGCGACTTGAGACAGTCCATATGGAAACACTCTGCACAACATAAAATGCTCTGTAAGGGACTGTCATTGAGCATTGTGAATCGCCGAGGACTGGACTGCATGGGCAGCTGAGACATTCTCCCTGTGTTAGTCCCACCCGCAGCCTGTTAGACTTTGGTCCCTTCGGGCCCCTGTGCGGCTCTCCATTGCCGTGTCTCCCGAGCCCCACCCCGGTTGTGCCACTGTTCTCCCTTTCCTTCATAGACCCACTGGGAAAGGTCCTGATGATGCTGTTAATGACATCTTTCATTTAACAAGTGCTGCTGCTGTTTGCCATCAAGCCGGTCCTGACCCATAGTGGCCCCAGTATAGGGTTTCCAAGGCTGTAACTGTTTATAGGAGCAGAAAGTTCTTACCTTTCACCTGTAGAGCAGCTGGTGGATTCGAACTGTTAACCTGATGATTAGTAGTCCACTCTGCTGCCAGGGGCCCCTATTTAACAACTTTATGCAGATGTAGAAGTGGTTGGTATGGGGTCCTAGAATTTCTTCAGGATACGTAGGACCACCTAAAAGGGCATGCAAAATTCTGTGTGTCTGCATGGTTTCTGGGTATGGTGGTCCATTGTTTTCATTAGATTCTAAATATATAGAGATGTGAACCAAGAACAAAGGATTAAGCGCAGTTCTGGGAGAAGTGGCTATGTTCTGAAAGCGCCATATCAATTCTGTTTTCAACTTGTTCATTGTATCTTTTTGCTTACCAACACATAGACATATAGAAAGGTAGCAGTGTGCCTACTTTGAAAAATTCCAGCAGAATTATAAATTCTCCAGGCAGTTCTTAACCCCAAAGCATCTATCTCTCCTGTATGCCTCCAGAGAAAACTTATATTTCTCCTGTGATGATCGCCGTTTTGTAACTTGATGGTCCTTTCTATTTCAGTTTGAAGGAAGGAAGTACTGTGAGCACGACTTTCAGATGCTTTTCGCTCCTTGCTGTCATCAGTGTGGTAAGTTTCAATACTGAACGTAAAGTGGTCAGTGTGGTGGGTGTGTACGTGGGATTGGTCCCGCCTTGTAGCAACCCTGTGTACACTTTCCAAGACTATAAATCTTTACAGGAACAGACTTCATCTTTCTTCCATGAAACGGATGGTGGATTCAAAGTGCTGATCTTACGGTTAGCAGTCCAACGAGTAACCCACTACGCCATCAAGGCTCCCAAATGTAAAGCAGTAAATTGCAGAATAAATAATTTAACACTAATAATTTAACAAGTGTAAGTGGTAAAAGTGGTTTTTGGTGCTCATTATACTTAGAAGTGGAAGTTGTCAAAAACGAATTGGATAAGACTATAGGTGGAAGTTTGAACCACATCCAGATCTTCTGAAGTGGGAAATTTCCACTTGAAAGGACGAACAGACCAGCCTGGAGCGGCTAGAAGAACAGAAGATAGTTCTTGAAAGAAAGACCGACAGGAAAAACACAAAACAATAGAGGCAGAGGGACTGTTACTACAAGAACAAGCAAGTTGCTTACCCAGGAGACAAAGCAAGTGGTCAGGTCCCTCAGTGCAAACCCCCTTCCAAGACTAAGACTCAATGGGAATACACTCTCTGATTGGTGACCATGCTGGTCACTAATAAGGGGAAGTGAGGGAAAAACAGCAATGAAGCAGCGAGCTAAGCCCTACAACATTCAATAGATGCCTGTGAACCCGGGTGGAGACCTGGTTGGCCAGCAGTGTGGCAAGACCTGGGGACTCTTGGGCCCAGAGTCAGTGACATAGCCACAGAGGACTAGAGTGGAGAGT